ATTTTGTGATAGTTGTTATTAAGACCATTTGTTTGTTCTTGCTTTTACCACTCTAGTAAATTCTTAACTAGAGAACATGCAAAATCCGCACAGAAACACTAATGACCCAGCCGAGGTTCGAACCAGCAATCTTCTTGCAGTGAGGTGACAGCACAACCTATTGCCACCGCATTGCCAAAACACATTTTGTCTTTTTTTTCTCAAGTAATCAAGCAAGCATTTTTTTGTTTTTAAATGATGTCTAATAGATGTCTAGACGTCTAACATTGGGCTATCAGTGAAAATCTAATAATATGCCAAAACTAGACTAGTCATCAAATAAACAGAAATGAATGACTACACATATAAAGTCTGTCTTATCTGCTATTTGATGACTAGTCTAGTTTTGGCTTATTCTTAGATGTCTATTAGATTTTAGATGCCCAAGTTTAGCCTTGTTTTAGCCAAGACGTCTATTAAACACAAAATTGTTTGCTGGGAAGATTGTCCACATTTTTTTCTTTATGGATAACTGATGTCAACTGAAGTCAACAATTAGGGAGGATGTTTCTGGAAGTTTTCCGGGACACAGAACAATACGGGAGATGGGTCTGAAATATGGGAGACTCTAGGGAAAAACGGTAGTGTTGGCAGGTATGCAAATTGATTAAGTTAACTTAAAACTTTTAACAAATGTATGTGAATTAAAACTTAACATATTAAAGTTGTCCCAATGAAACCTCAATAATTGTGTTGTTACAGCTCATTTTAAATAAGTAGTTTGATGTTTGTAGTTTGTTGAGCTGAGGAAAAGTAAATATGCAACTAAGTTCATGACAAATAACATTTGAAGGGGTGGGGGATAAACTTTAAGTTAAGCATTTTCTTATTCCTCTAACAGTACTTTATTTAATTATTTACCTGCCTGCACTATTAATTGTTTATATTTATTTATACAGGAATTTGTGCATTTTTTAAACACATTTATTTATTTATTTGCATATTTATTGTTTTATTTATGCAGAAATGTATGGATTTGTTTATTTACAGTTAAAGTCAAAATTATTAGCTCTCTTTGAATTTTTTTTTCTTTTTTAAATATTTCTCAAATTATGTTTATCAGAGCAAGGAAATTTTCAAAGTATGTCTGATAATAATTTTTCTTCTGGAGAAAGTGTTATTTGTTTTTATGGTTAGAATAAAAGCAGTTTTTAATTTTTAAAAAACATTTTAAGGTCAAAATTATTAGCCCCTTTAAGCTATATTTTTTTCGATAGTCTACAGAACAAACCATCATTACACAATAACTTGCCTAATTACCCTAACCTGCCTACACTGTAAAAAATTGCTGTTAAAAAACGGTCAGATTCTACGGTAAAATAATGTTTTTTTTCACTAAAACAGTAAAAATCTGTTAAAACCAGTGCTTTCTGGGTAACATTTTTTGTTTTCGAGAAAGTAACCAACTGCAGAAAACTGTGAGCTAACAGAGTTCAGATTCGATGTTTTGAAGTCTGTGTTTGAAATCACACTTTGTGTCCTTGTTCACTATTTCATACACTAGTTAACTAATATAGTTCACCTGACAGTTTTAATGAACACTAATGAGTGAATTCAGACACTGTTGAACACCTGCTGTTAATAATTACAATTACTAAAGAAAATAAACAAGAAACACAAACAGTGACTTGAGTTACAGCATTAAATAAAATCAAATAAAATAAAACAGCTTCAGTCTCAGCAGAGGATCATTAAACAACTCCACAAACAACAGCAGACACACTTATTACTGACTGATTTGACTGCCATACAATTCTCATTGAGATCCAACAGAAATTAAGGTGTTTTTTGTGTCACCGTAATGGAGTGAGGGGCTGATTTAGTTGGGCTCTTCACCCTTGTACTCATTTAAGAAGACTTTCAAACTGCTGTAATACAGAGTTTACAAAACGTTTGTACTACAGCATTAAAGTTGGGAAGTCAATGAATAGAGAAATCTATTTGTCTGAAATAGTTCTGATAAATGTTTTGTTATAAATCTGGAAGAAAGGCCTCATGCAATAGATTTTATGCTTAGCTGCAGGTATTAATTTAATTAATGAGAAGTGAAAACAGAAAAGATACCTCTGTAATTATTTAACAGTTAAGAAATAACATACAAAAACAGTTCAGTTATGACAAATACACACTCAGACCTCATGAATCTGACCTTGTATCTCAACAATGGTAACATCTCAAATGTTTCATGCTGCAATGCATGCTGGGAGTGGCACTGTACAAATATCCCAGCATGCATTGCGGTATAAATAAATGTTGTATAATGGTCTAACAGTTTTCTTTATTTGTGTTTGATTCTGCTGTTGTTTATGTTTAGACTTTCAGTTGCCTGTTTGTGAGTTAAACTGTTAATTTTGTTAGTTGTCACCATTATTGAGGTTCATATGCTGATTATTGATGTCTGTTTGAGTGCGATTTACACCATAGAGCAGTGTTATTGTCCAAGATATTTTTAAACACTTCCAGAAATCATTGCCATATATAGACATATAATGTAAAACAATAGATTTAACATTGAATAGGAGCAGTAAATTTTATTATTCAAAATGAGAACAGACTCTGCCATTTAATAGCAACATGAACATCACCAGATCTTATTTAGGTTTTTTGGCTGGCTTGCCACAACAATGGAGCTTTTTAAACAAAGTTCTTAACAATTGAAGCAGCCAAGATATATAAATGTTAAATATGACAGGGCTAAGAGCCCAACTAAAGCAAACTCTGTTCTCCATGATGGTGACGTAAAAGTTTAACTTTTTCTCAAGAAGAACTTTAGTAGATGTTATACAAAAATATATGTATTAAGTAATAAGTGAAGCTGGTGATGATGTTTGTAGAGTTGTTTAATCATCCGCTGATCATTTAAATGATTTAATCATTTGTTGTTCTTCAGGTTATTTCATTATAAAGCTGTGACTAAAGTTTTGTATGTTCTGTTCTTGTTTTCTCCCTTCAGTATTTCTTCATTTGTTCATTGTTAATCCTCAATTAACATTTAATTAGTCAGTTAATTGATGAATTTACTTCAGCTTTGCTACATGTTTCTTGAACACTCAGTAGTGTGGACACTTCAATTAAAACTGAAGTATATGCTCTGGGGTTTAAAGGGTTAAAGGTGTGCGAGGTAAAAACACAGTGTAAAAATGTATTTTAACAGTAATATACTGTTAATTTACACTACGGAAATAGACTGTAAAAAAACAGTAGATTGCTGGCAACCACAGCTGCCAGTAGATTACTGTTAAATCAAGGAAAAACAGTATTTTACTGTAAAACCTGAAGCTAATTTTTTCTGTCTGTCACCGTTGTGGAGGAGAGTAGAGCCAGTGTATGAGTTAAAGATGAACAATGAGCTGCTGATGTTATTCTGTATGTTTCTCTATTTAAAGACAGCGGCTGTTTAGTGGCTGATGCAGTCAGAATCTCTCTGGTGATTCCAGATTTACATGTATGTGTGCTGTTGTGAAAAATAAGACATTAGAGTTAAACCGAACTTTTCTAATTAACTAAAATAAGTTATCATTATAAGTATGCTTCTAAGCATATATGGCACATTACTTCATAAACTCATTCAGCAGTTGACCAAGTTGAGGCAGTTGCTTTCAGTGAGCAAAATGAGTTCACTTGAGTATTGTGTAAATCAATGTAGTCCATGTATTTTTACAGCAACATACTGTAAAATAACAGTACATTGCTGGCAACTGCAGCTGCCAGTATTTTACTGTTTTTTAACGGGACAATTTTTAACAGTGTAGTTAACCTAATTAACCTAGTTAAGCCTTTAAATGTAACTTTAATCTGTATAGAAGTGTCTTGAAAAATATCTAGTCAGATATTATTTACTGTCATCATGACAAAGATAAAATAAATCAGTTATTAGAAATGAGTTATTAAAACTATTATGTTTAGAAATGTGTTGAAAATCTCCTTTAAACAGAATGTGGGCGGGAAATAAACAGGGGGGCTCATTCTGACTTCAACTGTATAAATTTGCGTATTTATTTATTTATTATTTTGCAGGTTTCGTCCGCCATAAACAATAGACTGATGTCATGATGTCATGTGCGTATTGGGTCTTGCAGACAAAAAAAGAGAAGATTTTTGTATGCTACAGCTGATGTAATGTTACATAAGGGGGCTTTACCGAGGTTTCGTTTTCAATTCAACTGCATTTTGGACAAGGTTAGCACTAGATGGCGCTGAAAAACCTGCTGAAATCATCACGCTCGATAAGCTCAAAGTTTTTTTTTACTGTAAAATATATTTAGGCATAAGCATTTAGAGTGCAGGGCTGGAGTGAACCTACTGAGCTACCCGGATGGGTTAAGAAGACTAAGGAAAAAAAGGACAGAAGAACATCTTCATTACCTTTTTCTACTCTGTACTGTGACTGTGCGTACTGTAAACATTGAGCAACGAACGACCTAATGTACGATTCCCAGCAGATGCGTTACATGACACCAAAGGAAAAGCGACTGCTTACAAAGAACAAAGACAAACAGTGACAAAGAGATTCAAAAACATGGCAGCACCTGTAAGTTCTTTTAAGCTCTTGTCGAAGATAGGATGTATTCTTTTGTTTTAACCATGCAACCTTGTTTAGACAACAGTTTTTAGACAACAGTTTAACAGCTAAAATGCTCTGTAAACCTAAACATGATAACTTTTTTTCTTATATCTTAAAAAACAACAACAGAGTGCAATTTTAATCAAACGCATCCGTGTGCGCTTGTCATCGAGAAGATTTGGGGTTTGTGTGTAATTGTATAGCCTGTTGTCAGCTGTTCCGCCAACTGCTTTACTTTCCGTTTCACAACTGTTGCAACATCATGTGAAAACCCAGCATGTGATTACTTTTTTGTAAAGAAAAAAAACACTCGTCACTGTTCATAAAGCAGACAATCAGACGCTGATCTCCAGTTTCACACTCACCGTTCATAAGTCTGTTTCTGTTTTAGTCAAACATGGAGGTAGAGCTTCACGGATTGTTTGAGAAAAACAACTCCTTCGACTATGATAATTATGAGAACAAAGAACTGGACTGCCAGTCAAAAGCAGTCTCTGATGCATTGGGGGTCTTCATTCCCCTGCTTTACTCTTTGGGGATCTTATTGGGGCTGCTGGGACATGGACTGGTTCTGGCAGTATTGTGGCACAAGTGGCTGAATTGCAGTGTGATGGACATCTTCATCTTTCATTTGAGCTTAATTGACAGTCTTCTGCTGCTCACAATGCCTCTCTGGGCCGTGGATGCCGTTAAAGGATGGATCATGGGGTCAGGACTCTGCAAACTGGCTGGAGTTCTGTTTAAGGTGAGTGACTGCAGGTTTGATAATGTGTTGGTCTCATACGTTGAATATGATGTTAAATGTGGTTACTTGGTTGCAGAATATAATTAAATTTGGATGTCATATTAATAAATATGAATACTGGATATTAGATGAAACCTGGTTTTCAAATGGGATCTGGTAAAGATGCTGTTTAATTTGTTTTTAAATAGAAAAAGCAGAGCAGTAGTGTAGTAATTTTGTGACGTGTTTTGAATATACTGTAAAATGCAAGTAGTTATAAGTCGGCTTTACTTTAAAAAAGAAAAAGACTAAACCTTTTAAAACTTGGAGTTTTTATGCTCACTTAACCAAATGTTTATAATTATGCACATTTTATTATCTGAAAAAATTAAAGCAATGTGTACTCACTGTTTTAAGTTAACTAATCTCTTTTTATAGTGGATCTGCCTAGTTAAGTGACACGAGGCTAATTTGCTGTGTGGATCTATTAAATTCTGATCAAAATTGGAGTTTGGATTTAAAATACAATTTTATACTACAGCTACAAGTTTAATGTGGTGGTTTTAACAGCAGCAAAGAAAGACCACCAAGCATAATCCCAAAGTGTGTTACACTATGCTACTGATTATTTAAAACCTCTTAAACATTGTTGCCACTTTTTAAAATAAAGTCGGCAGTTGTCATGACATTAAGAATATAACTACAGTATCTTAAATAAAATAAAATTAATTACATATAAAATCTTAAACTTTTAAGAATCCAAACACACTATAAACTATTTTAAAAGCAGTAAAACGCTGATCCTAGCCTACATTAAGGTTGAAATGACAGCAAGCGTTTTGCCATTTAAAGTGCAAATAATTCTAAAGCCAAAAGGTCAACAAGAAAGCCTTCACATTTAGATTGTGTTTCTTTTTTTCACACTTAATTTGATGGTACATATCACACATTTTGTTGACTAAAAGTTGCATGGCAACGACATGCTTATTACTTCTCAGTTGAGAGTATTAGTTGACTTTCTGCTTAATATCTGCTGATACTGCTTCTTCAACATTTAACTGACGTACACTGTCCCTAACCTCAAACTAAAAGTCTAATCTAAGTATAATCTAATGAGAAATAGTTGGCATGTTGATGCAATGTAACTTAAATGCGTTAAAGGGACCATCAAAATAAAGTGGTACTTATTTTTCTTTCTTTTCTTTGTTTTTTTAGTGTAAACATTAATCAAATCTACATGTTTTTCTAAAAAATGGTAGTTTTAAAACCAAAGGAAATTAGGGCTGCAACTAACGATTATTTTAATCATCGATTAATCTGCAGATTTTTTATTTATTTATTATTTTATTTTTTTTTGGTCAATCGATGAATTTGATTAAATTGATTTTAATCGACTTGACGGATGTGGTGTTGCAGCCCTAAAGGAAACCAAAATAAATAGAAAAATTCTATTTCTAATTTACATACATATTTTGTGTGTGTGTGTGTGTGTGTCAGGCACGTGCACACATAGGGCTCAACCTGTGCAGTGCACATTCCCTTTTTAGTCTTGGATAGAAAGTGCGCTTCCAAAATGATCAAAAGTGCCCCCGCGACGCGGCACACCTTCGGTCCCACCCTTCAGTAGGCGCGCGACAACACCGCTCTTGAGTACGCGCGCGACAACACAGCTGATCAGTACGCGCGCGATAACACCGCTCTTCAGTACGCGCGCATCCACTCTGCAGATCTGCACCAATCCCCACCCTCCCTCTTCCAAAAATGTATCCTGCACATGCCCTTTGGACGGTCTCTGCACGGGCCTGGTGTGTGTGTGTGTGTGTGTGTGTGTGTGTGTGTGTGTGTGTGTGTTTAAAAGACACTAAAAATTGTAATTTATTGTCAACTGTATTATAATAAGTGTTCCCTTTCTCTGTCTCTTCAGATGAATTTCTACTGCAGTATGTTGATGTTGGCCTTCATCAGTGTGGACTGCTACCTGTCCATTGTTCATGGAGTTCAGAAGTTATCTCGTAAAAAGCCCATGGTGGTTCATGGATGTTGTCTGATTATCTGGCTCGTCTGCCTGCTCCTTAGCATCCCAGAATGGATCTTTCTGAAATCCATCAGTGACAGCACAGATCAGGTTAAAGATGAATGCATTTACTTTTATCCAGATGATTCCTGGCATCGTTCCTCACGATTTCCGCATCATGTCATTTTTGGTGTGGGAACTCTTGTGCTGCTGTTTTGTTGTACCTCCATCATGCTGAAGCTTCAACGTGAGTCTATGTGCCAGCAGAAGAAAATAGGCAGAAAAACAGCGATCATTGCAGTCCTAGTGCTGGTTTTTCTCATCTGCTGGACACCCTACAGCATTGCCTTCATTGTGAACACCGGTGCTCGTCCAGTGCACATTGATCCTTTAACAGGAGAGAGTGAATGTGAATGGAGGCAGTGGACAGCTAGCAAAATAACAGCCATTTTTGGGCTTCTCCATTGCACTATCAACCCTGTTATTTACTTCTGTTTCTCCAAAGAGTTCAGGAGACGCTCACAGGCTGTGATAAAGTTCAATGCTTGTGAATCAAACAATAATGACGGCTCACTTTGGGACTCTACTGCAGACAATGTTAATACTACTGTCCAGGAGGAGCAAGGTCCACTTCAGCAAGTCAATGAACTTAAACCAAAAGTACAAACCCAGCAGGAGGATACATGAATATGTAAATCATTGACCGAGAGACTCTTTGTTTCTCGTAATTTATTTTATGCTTATTGTAATCTTCTGCATTGTATTTACAGCAAACTGTATTTAGACATGAGCATTTGATCATTGATATTTGGGTTTGGATTTACTTGAAGGTATTTGTACAGTCATACTGGAAAATCCCACTCTCGTGATTGAGGGTGGAAAAGCGGGAGACCCGCAGGTCATGGAATTTCTGGATTATTTGGGAATTTGGAAATGTCTATAGCAGACATTGAAAGTCGGGGAGTTTTATTACATGGTTTTTGTCTGAGTCATGCAATATCAGGGATTTTTTTGTTTGTTGTTTTTAAGTTTAAGTGAAGTTTATTTATAAACTAATTTCAAGAGGAGCACATGCTTATAATTGATCACAGCTGGTCCCACATTAGCTAATTTAGGATTCACCAATCAGACAATTCCTTAGTCCCCATAAATACCCTAAGTTCAGTACCACAGCCATCTTTGTTTTGAAAAATCCCCCTTCCACCCTTTCTGCTCTTTCTTTCCTAGATGGGTGGCACGGCGGCCCTTTGGTTAGCACTATTGCCTCACAGCAAGAACGTCACGGGTTCAAGTCCATACCAAGCTAGCCAACGTTTCTGTGCAAAGTTTAGATGTTCTCCCTGTGCTAGCGTGGGTTTCCCCCGGTTTTCTCTCACCATCCAAAAACATGCCATTTAAGTTAATTGACTAATCCAATTTGGCACTATAGAAGTGCTTCTAGTAAGTAGTTATCTTTCCATAACAATCCCTAGATTGTTAGAAGAGGGAACCCTGGGCTCGAGGATCTTACAAGCTCAGGGCTCTCTCCCGGGACAGCAAGCCAAACGCGATTTATATCAATCATCAGCTAAGTGTAAACCGTTAAACTGTGTATTTAACAAAATGTAATATTTTTGTAGCATGTTTTTATATTGTTTATTTTTTTTATTTTAATTTTTTATTCAAATTGTTATGGTTATGCTCTTTTTAGGGCTATTTAAGTGAATTGCAGTCAACAGGTGGTACTTGTTAACATGCAAACATGCCAGAAAAAGGAACATTTCAAGTGCGTTGCCTACAAAATGACTGCATCAAAAGCTGGTTGTTTAAAGTAGATGACAGAAAGCTGATATCCTGTGCCGATGGTTATAAGGATCAGAATGTAGCTATAATGTTTGCTAAATAGTTGTAATTAATTGTATTTTTTAAGTATAGCCTATGTTAGGTAGCATAAGAGGTCACTTTAAGAATCGAAAATGTCGCAGTGTTTGTGAGCTAAATACTGTTAAGTCTTGATAGCAGAAGCTTGGATTAATCATTATTTAATGTTTAATCAACATTATATTACTGTTATAGGCTAATTAAAACAGATCGACAAGGCTCTTGAAATTACATTCAGCCTATTTTTCAGTGTAGCTTTGTTTTGGGCCTCAGCACTGTATCTTAAAAATGATGCCATGTAATAGTTATTTATTATTTATCCTAACCGTTGTGTTTTGTTATTTAACTTTAGTACTAAAACCATCTGTAAACAAGTAAGCTTATTAACAATTAAATGTTGGATTTAAAATACTCCCTGTGGCTTGTTTTGTCTGCTTAGTGCTCAGCACAACAGCAGTCTTTTGTTTTTCTCATCATTATAGATAATTGAAATTCAGCTTTTTAGACGATGATAATTAAGGTATTGTGAAAAGTGGGAACCGTGGCCAACTAGAGCACTTTGATTAATTTTCATTTTATCAGTGAAATTATTTTATTATTTTATTTATTTTTTTTTTTTAACTATTACATTTTTATTGTCACTTTGCAAGTGTTTTGTAAAGAGCATACGCATGTATTCTATAAGCAGTGTCAGATGGATATTATTAATGTCATTATTTTTGTCTGTTTTGGTTGATGGAGCTGTGCCCACTTGTGTCTGTGTGTGTAATGCGTGATCGCACTTCCGTTTGTTTGTGGTCATATAATTCAGCGTTTTTTAAAGAAGGCTATACTGTTTACCAAGTCTGCATTTGACCAACAAACATAAAAAATAAATATCACTGCGAAATATTTTTCAGTTTATAATATTTTTTTGCTACACAAAGCAGCTTACTCCAGATGATTTGCTTATTGGGGAACGGATAAAAACTACAAGATTAAAATGCATTGCATCTCTTGAGGATAATATGGTTCTCAGCATTGGGATCCAATTTCAGGGACCCACACAAGCCTTTTTGGCCTTAGAAAAGCCCAAAACTGATTAAAACAAGCTTTTGTCATTGTAGGAAAGTTTCATTCACAGCTAAACAAAAGTACAGTAACATAATATCTTTTACATTTGACCATTTGACAAAGGTGCTGTACGACTTAGAGTGGTTCCACTATGATAACGAGCCAATGAGCCACTTTGAGGGCTGTTTAGTATCACTTTTCTTGTGTGTGAAATTGAATAAACAACACAGACTCATTGAAAATGTGCTTAAGCCTACATTTTTGTGAAACTGCAAGACATTTACATAAACATTTCACTGCAGTTTGTAGGTAAAAGGAATACTACGAGGCATTATGATCTTAACTTTAGTTCCTTTTCACACGGTGGCCCAGTGGTTAGCACTGTTGCATCACAGCAAGAATGTCACTGGTTCCAGTCCTTACCAAGCCAGCCGACATTTCTGTGCAGAGATTACACATTTTCCCCATGCTCATGTCGGTTTCCCCAGTTTCCTCCCACCGTCCAAAAACATGCAACTTAAGTTAATTGAAATCTGCACAAATCTGCACCATAGACTTGCTTCTAGTAAGTATAACCAGAGAGCAATCACTATCTGTTCATTAGCTTCTACAGCAGGGGAGTTCTCGAGATCTACCTGGGCTCAAACTCCCCTCTTGTCTTGCAAACAGGAGGGAGCCATGGCCTCGAGGATCTTAGAACTATCAGCTAAGCGTGAACTCTTGAATGATTTTTATAGACATAATAACCATTTCGTAACCATTATTTTCATTTTACCAAATCAATTCCACAAAACCTCTTAGTGGTGTATATTTCCATATGGACAGCTTTTCTGATGCAATCAACTGGCTAAGTTAGTAACTCACTATTGTAGTATTGTGTTGTACTTTGTGAGTTTGAGTCTGGTGAAGCACGGTTACACAAAAGAGATAAAAGTGATGTAAATTCAAGATAAAACTACGTTCACAGTGCACTTGTCTCTTACGTTTGGTTTTGAAAACACTACTGATGGTTTTTATTTCAGTGATTAGCTGGTCAAGGTGATCAGTACGACCAAGGCCGGAGCAAGCTGAACTGCCACTCTAGGCAGAGGACGATCACACCGCCCTCAACCCCAATGTGAAAACGAAAGTGACCGGTTATGAAAATAAAGTGAGGTGTCGCGGACCTCTATGCAGCCGCCCTATGCGCGGATATAACTGAGGACGCGCGGGTGCTGAGGGAGGGAGGTGTCGCCGACGCTGCCCTCTCTATACTGCCGCCCTATGCGCGGAAATAACTGAGGACGCGCGGGTGCTGAGGGAGGGAGGTGTCGCCGACGCTGCCCTCTCTATACTGCCGCCCTATGCGCGGAAATAACTGAGGACACGCAGGTGTCGCGAACCTCTAATCTGCCGCCCTACGCGTGGATTTAACTGAGGACATGCGGGTGCTGATGGAGGTGTCACTGACGCTGCCCTGCCCTCTCTATTCTGTCGCCTATGCGCGAATATATCTGAGGACGCGGGTGGTGAGGGATGTGTCGCGGACATAACTGAGGACGCGGACGGTAAGGGGGGTGTTGCGGACGCCGCCCTCTCTATACTGCCGCCCTAGGCGGCCGCCTAGGTCGCCTCTATGGACGCGCCGGGCCTGAGTACAAGCACTGTCTTCTCATGGACATGTACAAAGAGAACTTCTATCCTAAACACAACAAAACATACCCTAATGTTTTCAGGTTCTCAGATGGATTTGTCATCTGAAAAGTGCAATGAAATGTACCTTGAGGAATGTATTTCACATTGTAAACAAATAGCCTGAAGTACAGTATTTGCAATGAGCCCGGGCAGGTTCTAAATCTTATAATATACATTTTAGACTATTATAATAACCACAAAAATTAAGCAGCACAACTGTTTTCGATATAAAATGATAAATAATAAGAAGAAATGTTTACATAAATCAGCATAATTATTTCTAAAAGATCATGTGACACTGAAGACTGGATTAGTGGGATAAATGCTGTACACACTATTTTAGTATGACCTAAGTTTTAGTATGAAAAATGTTTCAGCATCCCAAAAGTTTCAGTATGGTTTGAGTTTATGCAAGTGAGACAAGTGTGATGCTAATCGACAAGAGAAGGCACCAATAATAGTCCGTACACCATACTAATCAAGCAACACAACTGTTTATTGCTGGCACACACAGCTAATATCAATTCATTAAATCATTTCTTTTCAGCTTCGTCCCTTTATTAATTTGAGGTCGCCACTGCGGAATGAACCGCCAACTTCTGATATCAATTATCACAATAATATTCAATAATCATGATTCATACTCATGAACATCATTAATCAAAATACAACAAAACTGCATAAACGGCTAATAATGCAAAATAAAGATGAATACTAAGGATTACATAAATAAAAAACAGATGATGAAACTCCAAGCAATTTGAAATAAGTATATACAACCTCAGAGACGTGCCTTTATTTGCCTCTTCAAAGACTGGAGAGCCCGTTGCAGTCACATTGGAAAACCAACACCTGTCCAAGAATACCGGGTGATGTGCCCTTATCCCACGGCTGAGCTTCCAATGTTTCAGCAAGAAATCCTCACCTTCATTTATTTTCTTTTTAGCTTAATCCTTTTATTAACCCAGGGTCGCCACAGCTGAATAAACGGCCAATCCTCACCTATATAGTCAAAAGTTGGGTGCTGGTCAAAGGCCGGCCTATTAGGTAAGAGAGAAGAGTGAGTTGATCAGGCCCACCTTCTCTCTCAGCTTGGTGCA